GCATTATCATGCTGCAACATGAGGTGATGGTCGTGGATGAATGGCACAACAATGGGCCTCAGGCCTCAGGCCTCTTGTCACGGTATCTCTGTGCATTCACAATGCCATCAATAAAATGCACCTGTGTTCGTCGTCCTTAACATACGCCTGCCCATACCATAACCCCACCACCACCACCATGGGCCACTCGATTCACAACATTGACATCAGAAAACCGCTCGCCCACACGACGCCACACACGCTGTCTGCCATCTGCCCTGAACAGTGAAAACCGGGATTCATCCGTGAAGAGAACACCTCTCCAACGTGCCAGACGCCATCGAATGTGAGCATTTTCCCACTCAAGTCGGTTACGACGACGAACCGGAGTCAGGTTGAGACCCCGATGAGGACAACGAGCATGCAGATGAGCTTCCCTGAGACGGTTTCTGACAGTTTGTGCAGAAATTCTTTGGTTATGCAAACCGATTGTTGCAGCAGCTGTCTGAGTGGCTGGTCTCAGACGATCTTGGAGGTGAACATGCTGGATGTGGAGGTCCTGGGCTGGTGTGGTTACACGTGGTCTGCGGTTCTGAGGCCGGTTGGATGTACTGCCAAATTCACTGAAACGCCTTTGGAGACGGCTTATGGTAGAGAAATGAACATTCAATTCACGGGCAACAGCTCTGGTGGACATTCCTGCTGTCAGCATGCCAATTGCACGCTCCCTCAAAACTTGCGACATCTGTGGCATTGTGCTGTGTGATAAAACTGAACATTTTAGAGTGGCCTTTTATTGTGGCCAGCCTAAGGCACACCTGTGCAATAATCATGCTGTCTAATCAGCATCTTGATATGCCACACCTGTGAGGTGGGATGGATTATCTCGGCAAAGGAGAAGTGCTCACTATCACAGATTTTTTCAGATTTGTGAACAATATTTGAGAGAAATGGTTATTTTGTGTATATAGAAAATGTTTTAGATCTTTGAGTTCATCTCATGAAAAATGGGAGCAAAAACAAAAGTGTTGCATTTATATTTTTGTTCAGTGTAGCAACCGGAGTCAAGGCCTGAGGTCAGTGGAGTGACATGCCAGGCTAAGAGGCTTACGGCCTGCCACAGCCTAACCAAAGGCTGCCCTCGTCAGTGGACACTGGCCAGCCAAACACACTGTCATCACACAGCTGACCGTGCCATGACATAACAGAAGTGCTGTATATCTAAACTCTTTGGGAATCTAGTGTGCTTGTAAAGATCAAATCAAAGGCTTTGATAACTTTAATGTGGTGTTAAAGTGTTGAAAAGCTTATGTCGAATATAAGCCATTAATGGATGCATGATGATGTTTTACATGGATAACATTTATCACCCAGAAAATCTGTTCGTTTGGCCAAAGCAGCTCTGGATCAAGAAAGAATACTTTTATATGAGTCTGTTTTTTATCACAGTGGCTGAGCTTAAAGGTTAGTGTGGAAATTAGATTTTGTATGTCTGATTGCAACATACAGTACACAACCGTGTAGTGTTGAGATGACAACAACAAGTGACGGAGGACATGTCCGTGTCATCCTGCTCCTCTGGGAAGTAGGGTGAGAGGATGACGTAACACTGCTGGGAAAATGGACAGTAATAGTAGACAACTATTGCTCAACATATTTAGTTTAGTTTTTTTACCCATAGTCGTTACAGAATAATAAATAAGGTTATTTGATAATACGAAATTCTCCTCCCCATCTTTGTGAGATATTGTGACAGAAGAGTTGTGCAGAACCACACATGATGAATTACATCACGCTAACAGAGACACAGGAGAGAGCAACATATTGAGACACAGAAGCAGAGACAGTTTACGCCAATCCCAAATCCCATGTGCCAAAGTGCCAAACAATTCAGCTCAAAAAACAAGCTTTGGCTCTCAACCTACCAAATCTTTACCAGTCTCATCTCAAAACGTTCCCACCCAAGAAAAACCTTAAGGTTCATTTTTAAAGAGGCCACCAAGCTGGCACGGCATGAAGCCCTCTGGCCCAGTTAGTCAAAACACTGGATGCTGCACTTTAACACATCCTCCCCATGTTGTTTTGGCACTTCAGTGAAGCATTGTCGAGCATCATGCTAAAAGTGTGTGCCTGCAGGCGCAGCTCTCACACATTTGTTTTTATCTGACACCCAGCTCCTGCCTGCTCTCTGGAAGGAGAAATTAATAATAAGTTAACTTGTAAATTGTCTGATATCACAGAGCATCACTAACACAGGCTTCTTAATAAAAAAAAATAAACATCACAGTTACAGAAGACACATTCCTAATAACATTAACTTTGTAAAGTCAAACGAACGTGACAGAAACATAATTACATTACATTACATTACATTGCATTTAGCTGACGCTTTTATCCAAAGCGACTTACAATAAGTACATTCGACCAGGAAGACACAACCTTGAAGAAAACAGAATCATATAAGTACATCAGGTTTCATAGAGCCAAACATTTCAAGTGCTACTCAACTGGCTTTAGATAAGCCAGTCCTTTATTAGTATATAAGTGCTTTGTTAATAAATCTATCGCTCGAAGTGGAGTCGAAAGAGATGAGTTTTCAGTTTGCGCCGGAAGGTGTGCAAGCTATCTGCTGTCCTGATGTCAATGGGGAGCTCATTCCACCATCTTGGAGCCAGGACAGCAAACCCACGTGTTTTTGCTGATGGGAACTTGGGTCCCCCTCGCAGCGAGGGTGCAGCGAGTCGTTTGGCTGATGCAGAGCGTAGTGCACGCGCTGGGGTGTACGGTTTAACCATGTCCTGGATGTAGGAAGGGCCAGATCCATTCGCAGCATGGTAAGCAAGTACCAGTGTCTTGAAGTGGATTCTAGCAGTTACCGGAAGCCAGTGAAGGGAGCGGAGGAGCAGAGTGGTGTGGGAAAATTTAGGAAGGTTGAAGACCAGGCGAGCCGCTGCATTCTGGGTGAGCTGCAGAGGTCGGATGGCACATGCAGGTAGACCAGCCAGGAGGGAGTTGCAGTAGTCTAGGCGTGAGATGACAACACCATCTGCTGCCTTGTTCTGATGTTTGAGTTTGCCTGCTTAGATGAGGAGAGGTTACGTAACAAACCACCCCACTTGTAGATCTGAAAAGATGAGTATGCCAAGCTCATCATGGGACACGGTTGTGTCCGATGGGGCCTCTGTGTGCTCGTACTCTCTTTCAGTATTGTGGATCTGAGAAGCCCCCAAAGCTCCTGCCAGAATACAAAATGCCAGAACACGCCTTGAAAAGAGCTCCAAGCAGAGGGACAAGCTGGTGTCCAAGAAAAGAGAAACATCTTGTGCTGGGCTTAATTACTCCTGCTTACGATTACACGGTTTTAACCTTTCTCAGGATTCCAGTACAGAGCCTGATTGGAAATGAAAGAGCATTGATGTTCACAGCGCGGTTAATTATATTTAATGTAAAATACAGAAGGGCACCACTGTAGCTCTATACTTCCCACTAACCACATGACTATGTTTACATGTAATCTACTAATTTAATTAATTGTTCTTGCCTTTTATGCTTTAATTATCTCCTCGTAAACACCACAATGGAGTTCATGTAAAGTCATCTATTTATATGCTGATTTTTGCAACTTTCTTTTTTTTACCGAAAATATTCAAAAATCAGACTTAGTTCATTGTGCACAAAGAATTTGAGGTTTCCAAACTGTGATTTGCTTCTCTTTTTTTCTCAAAGAGCTGTTGATAAGCACAACATCAGAATCTCTGAACACTCATACATGGCGTCAGCTTTGAGTGAATAAATCCTATTTATCAATTCTGTCTCATTATTTCTTCATCAGATGGAATGTATCATTCAGCTGCAGTCTCCATACATACCTGCTCACACAGAGCAGTGAGCTTGACAGTGTCAAAGATACAATTTCAGCCTAAGGTCAAAGTAATGACAAGTCGATCTTATTGATACAGTCTCTTCAGCAGGGGGCAACTCAAAGTTACAGTGTCTTTGAAATGTTAAAAATGCTGACCTACAGCAAAGCTGATAGTACTGCATTAACCTCAATATTAAGAAGTATTAGCGTAACTGTGAAACCAAAAGCACAGATTATATTATTGTCATCCACACTAAATGCTGAGCTTCAAAACAGCATGGCTGAGTGTAAACAATCAACATGTTGGCATATTTCTTATCAGAAAGTTCACCTTTATGTCTGCCAAAAAACTGCAAACCAAATGGTTTTTATGTTACCTAGAGCTGATCTCAATATCTTCATTGGTAATAATAACAGACTTAAGAAATGAGACTGACTACACAACATTAGACTGGAATGTGTACATACTGGAGCAGAGAAGGAACGGGATTAGGAGCTTTGTTTCACAGTTATTGGATTTTGGCGCTGTGGGAAAGGAATTATCCAAACACTGAGAGGAGTGCAAACACTGAACCATTCCTGTCAATGTGGAAAACATGATTCAGTGTTAACACATATGAAACATTAACATAATCTTTGTAAGGAATCTCATATCGAAAATGTCACTGTCATGAAACATATTATTGATCTTAATTTAAAAAGGATCTGTTGTTGTTTGCAATAAAAAAAAAAACTTTCTGCGTTAAATATCCTTACTTCCAAATTCAAAATGAGACAGACCACAAGTCTTATAATTTATCGTATACACACACACTTTAAAAATATAGCACTCAAACCACATTTTCGAAAATATTTCCAGAATTTAGCCTTTAAAAAAGAAATAATTGCAGGCAATATAAAAGCCTGGTTTGACATTTATTCACATAGGTTTCACTCCCCAGTACCTATGCCACTTAAAGTTCTCCTAAGCAAAGCACAATATTTCCAAACCTCTTCAGTGTCGCTGCTCTGTGGCAGTGGAGGACTGAACTGTCTGGGCAGCTCCATTGGCGAAATGAGTGCATCTGCTTGAATGTGGCACTGAGTGTTGATAGGTTTTGACAAAATGTTAGCTTCACCCTTGCTAATGAGCTGTCAGAGTGTGCCTGCCATTACTAACCTGTATCTCCTCAAAAGCCTCGTCAATAGTGGTGACTTGGTGCTGCTCGTGTAGCGCTGGCTCGTCGCAGAAAAAGCACACCAGGCTTTTGTCGGTGAGGCAGAAGAGCTTGACCTTCTCGTGGTCCTTGCAGGGGTATGAGCTCCTCTGAGCGTTGAGGATGGCGTCCAGCGGGAAGGCTGAGTAGCGCTCCACAATGTTGGACAACTTGAGGCTGGGCGAGAGATGAGGATCGGCGAAGGTCCTCCGGCACTCAGGACAGTCCCTTGCTCCGTGGAGCTCCTGCCTGCTCCAGTGCTCAGTGATGCACTTCCTGCAGAAGTAGTGCTCGCAGCCGAAACTGACGGGGTCCTGGTAGATGCTGAGGCAGATGGAACAGAGGAGCTCGTCCTTTAAGCAGCAAGCCATTTGCAAAGACGGAGACTGAGTGGCATCTACGAGGGCAATGTTCTGGAGCTGAATGTACTTAGTTTAATCTTCAAGTCAGTGGTTTACTGCCATGTGGGGGTGCACAAGACACGATGACAAGATCCTCAGGAATCTTCCGCTTCAACGTCTCTGTTGAAATACGACAAACACAAATTAAAATAATATTGTTATACACGTCAGTGCATGGGCTAATGCATTTATACAAACAGATCATGCAATGTAATGTAAAGATCATTAACAGGAGCTGGTTACAGTAACCAAGAGTTAATGCCGTCACGTTTTAGGTAAAATCGGGAATCACTTAAAAAATCCAACTTCTTTTAATCTGAGTATTGTTTTCTTAGCATTTCAATGTAGTGTATTGAACACCTTATGGGGATGCAGGATGGACAGTCATAATAATAACTAATCTTAAAATGTCCCCTTGTCTTGGAACATTTTATTTTCACAACTTTCTCTTTATTTATTTTTCAGACCAAATGCTTTGCTGCATCAGAAAACAATTCCTGAGGAATTGATAATGACAATTATTAGTTGTAATCCATTGTATGCCATTACAGTTTCACAAAAGAGCAATCTAGTTTCATTTTGTGAGCAAGCCCCTTACCTGAGGTGACATCTGTTATGAAAATACTTTCCCACCCTGCTACACCTTATTCCCCTGTCATTGTGGAGGATCTGTTGATCTGTTGATTTCCAAAGCAAACTGTCTGTACCAACCAACATAACAGGGAAACACCTGCAGCGGTTTTACCCCCGCTGCTCTCTTTCTCCTATCCCGGTGTTCAAAAGCTTCCTTTGAATTCCCATTAGAAAGCCGACTGGCTTTAACAACCGAGGCTCCGAGCCCTTTTTATGTCTTAGCATCTATCACATACTGTAGAGACACTATTTGTGCTATATCTTAGCATACATGCTTTTTTAATTGGCTTTCTCCACATTGCTTGCAAGCTGGATTTGTAAACATAACAGACCAGGACCACGACACCACCAACCACACCGGGAGGATGAAAGGGTAAGACACACAGAAATGGTGCGAAACTAATTGAAAATGCAATAGATTTTAAAAGTTGGATTCAGGGAAGGAATGTTAGCGGTAAAGTTGTATTTATATGACAACTGATAATCGAAAGAATGGGTGAGGGGAGCCTGAACTCACCGACTTCTTCACAGCAACATCCGTGGCTCCAATGCAAGTGTACTGTCTTTCAGGAAGGAGAGCAGCTCACAGCGGCAACAGACGCAACCAACTGCACTCAACGGAGGGGGGGTTATCAAACATATGCATTACCAGATAACTGCTGTTTGTTGATATATACGTAACGAAAAGGAATGTGAGATAATGTATTACTTAATTCAGAAATGTAAGCAATTGAATTACTGTTTACAAGCCTAAAATAGCATTATAAATGTAACCTGTAATGTAGTGTAACTTCATCGACAAATGGAGTGGCTCAAATTTCCTCAATCTCGTATTAGCATTGCTGCCTAGCTACCTTGATTACAACAAATAAACAGGCTAAAATACACGAAATACAACTTGATTCGTTTGACAAACTGTTTGACCCCATTAAAAATATAAGCGTATGAGTTGACATGAGAATGGACAGTCACTAGTGTTCACTGTTAAACGCGTTAATGGGCCGAAGGAGAGGGGCTTCGGCGGGCTGCAGTGTTCACCTTCAGCCAGCAGATGTCAGCAGAAAACACATTATTCGTCCCGGTGCAGGAACTGGAGGTCCTACGGCTGTTATGGAAGAGGCTCAGGTTAGTATGTGCTGTAATACATTTGGATACATTAGTGAGTCCCAAACTTTATGGGAAAAGTCTCTCACTTTTGTGTATGTTGTCTTCAGTTGTAGACTATTACCAAGTAGTAATTGGTATTTTAATCAGAATCAGAATACCTTTATTTGTCCCACAGAGGGGACATTTAAAAAATACAAATACATTTTACGTGAATATCGTAATTGAATATACCGAATAATACGATTTCACTACACTTCAAATGGCAATAGTACATTTTACTTGAGTCCAATTTTGTAAAGCTGTAGTTTGTTTTCAAAGGATGTGTTTGTTAACAATACATAGGCTACGAGTGACACAAATAAAATACGTAATGCATTATTAGAAAACAAATGACCCAAAAAGGGACCAGTTTCAACATGACATCTTAGTACAAAGCGATGCATTAGAAGTAATGTAATACAATCAATCATAATATAAAACTGACAGCTTCTCGGCTGCCTTTTTATTGTATAACTTATTGCACATACACCACTGAAGTCAAGACTATATTTACATTTGTATTTACTGTATATACATATAAACATATCGACAATTGATTACTTTGAGATGGAAACCAAGCTTCTCTTGTTGTCTTCATAAAGACTTGTGACTAAAGTGCATCTCTTAACCAATCAGATTGTTTTCAATGTTGCAACATGACAGAAAGAAAAATAAGGATGTATCAGTCTCTCATGCCGGTGACTCTTCATGTGTGTAACTTTCATCCTCCTGCACTGACATCAGTGATTCTTTTCCGGCTTCTTGTTGCGGGATGCTTAACAACTCCTCTTCATCTCTAAACTGGAGTTGAGACTCTATATGCGTGCCATTCGGTGTCCCACAAGACCCATGTCCTATGTTTACAGTGATGTTGACAATGGGAATGGTTGTTAGAGGGCTGATGACCTGAGGGCTGGTGGGCTGAGAGGAGGACTGTGGGGGGACGCTGGCCTGGGGCCTGACGGACTCCATGTCGGATATTAAAGTCATTAAAGGCTGGGTTTCCCTTAAATAACCCTTATTGATCTGCAATAGAAAGGAATGAAAAGGTTAATTCTCAGTGTTCTGTTTAACAGGTATTCACTGAAACATAAAGAGAGAAAGACTCACTTTATCCCCACTTTCACAATTTCCATTTGCATCCACTCCAGGAGGAAATCTTGCAGCATCTGGGTTAAAAACTGAGTAAGCAAAGAGTCAGATAGTGAAAATGTGAGACCAACAGCTCCTGATAAAGTTGATGACAAATAAGGATCATTATCGTCCTGAATTTCAAGTTGAAGATAAATGTAACATGTGTACCAGGGCTATTCAATTGGCGGCCCGCGGGCCAAATCCGGCCCCGGGGTGATATTTACTGGCCCTTTGAGTATAATGTTAAAAAGTAATCTACTTTTTATTTTTATTTTTTTTAAATATTTGTTTTGTGCCAGAGTGCCTTTATTCCAGAGAGGGTGTTACATTGAGAGATAGGGGGGAAGACAATGCCTCAGAACTTCGGCGGGCTCGGGTTTCGAACCCACCTACTAGCTACTGTATTGACAAACTGTCATTTATTTCATCTCTGTGTGAATGATTAGATAATTTCACCTAAATTACATCAAATGAAATGATGTTTATGGTTAAATTAGCTTCACATGTGGGCTTACTGCGTTTTGAACATGCCATATAGATCTATAAAGGCCTTGGGGCTATGTTGTTTGATTGAATTAAACACAATATATGCACTCCACTATGCTGTTGTAGTATTTACTGTATCTGAAGCTCTTAATACGATTGCTCATATTTCAAGCCATCTTTTTCCCGGCCCCTTGCTTTGGATCATTTTTCATCAACCGGCCCCCATTCCAAACTAATTGAATAGCCCTGATGTATACAATCATAGCTTTTCCATAAAACGGGTACATGATTGAAGGGGAAATATTATGAGAAACTAGATTTTCAGTGCTTGTGCACAAATATTTGCATGTAGGTATATTCATAAAGATAACATAAGGTAAACAATGTGTTTTTGAACAATAAAGAATGTGAACATCTTCTCAAATTGAATTATGAACCTAGAAATTAGCATAATATGTGCCCTTTAAAAGAAAATCAGGATGCAATTACCTTTCTTCCAGCGTGGCTTGCAAAGAAACAGAAGAATGATAGCGATGAAAACAAGTAATCCAATAACACCGGCGAGGACCGCAGGTACCATAGAGTCTAACACACAAACGACACATGGGCAGAAGGGGGAGTGATAAACCAATGATTAGACCTCACAATTTTCTCAGCATGACTTCATTTGAAACATTAAATCAGTTAGTTGCCATACCCAGTGTACTGTCAGGTGCTGAGCTTGTTGGGGGGGGGTTTGTGGAATAGTTGAATACGTCCCCTGAAGCAGATGGGCTTAAGGACAGTGTGGAGTCTGGCGGTCCACGTGTAGTTTCAGAGGTCACTAATAATGTACTCATCACTTCAGTTGCAGTTGTGAACAACATCTCAGTGGGGGGATTTTTCGTTGAGGTTTGTGACTGCGTGTTTGCATTTGGGGGCTCACACATCGTGTCTGAGGTCGCATCGCCTTTTTTGACAACAACCCTCCCATAGCAGCTGCAGAGAAACAGAGAGAGAGGTCAAAGATCTGAGCTCCAAACAGCTGAGTATAAACGTGATTATTCTTCACTCACTTTGTGTGAGGCTGACAGTGGTCAACAGATGAAACTGTGTCAGAGAAGGTCCCATTGGGGCACCGTTCACACCTCACATTGGAGTCTCCTGTCCCTGAGAGAAACACCCAAAACACCAACATTTCACTTTCAGGCATCACATGACATTTTAACGCTATGATACACCCTGTCTGTGTTATCAATGTTATCAATTGGATTACATTGAAAATCAAGTTTGACAGTAAATGTGGTTGATTAAGACCTTTGAGACGTGTATGTAACAACTTTTATGATATATTTATTACAGTATACATAAAAAACATTGAAAGTCAATTGGAGATGTCTTGACATTTATACTTGAGTCCTTACTCTATAAACTTTAACTCTATTCTTGATACATGCAATATTGATTATCAGATCTCACACAAATTGGATTTTGAAATGTATGTCTAAATTGAAACCAGAATATTTAGGAATTACATGTAAGGTAAAACACACAAACAGTGACGATTGAAAAATACTAGTTGCTGTACCTGGACTAAGCATTCCCCAGCCAGCTCCGCATGTCTTGTAATTGTGACATGCTGTGCAGTGTTTGCCATCAAATCCCATGATGCAATACTTTCCAGGCTGACACACACACCTGGACCTTGAGGAAGAGGAGCAGCTTTGGGCCTCTTGCAGACCTTTGCCTTGTTAAATGTAGACAAATATAGTGATAGTTGTTAAAAATAACAACAATGAATTATTTCCTCCAAAATGTTATATTCAGAGATGTTCAGCTCAGCTATACTCACCTATTTTACATTTGAGACAGGTGGCACAGTTTGGAGCGTAGTTCCAGTTCTCCATGTACTGGCGCGTTGGACATTCTTCACACACAGTTTTATTCGTTTCTGAGCATTTTTGTTTCCTTTTCTGTCCTGTGAGAATATGTACACGAATGAATCCACAATAATACACATGTCAAGGCATTTTATAACAGCAAATGGGCATTGTAAATTCAAAATGACCATTAACAGACAATAATATAAAGTTTTAAAAGATACATTTCACATTTGTCTCACGCAATTCGGTGTATATCATAGTACCACACTTTCTTGATTTTCTTGGTTAAAAGATATCATCCCATCTTTATGCCTAAAACAGTGTTGCTCTTCATAGTTACAAATAAAATGTTGATACCTGTTTGAAAAGCACCAAATACTGGTTAACATGTATTTTATGTCTCTGAAGGTTTTTACTATTTCTATACTTACATATGTTGGTACCGCTTGACAATAAGACTACCCTTATAAAGGGTTTACGAATAGTTTGTAATTAATTAATTAATTAGGTTGTGAACACTTTATAAATCATGAATAAGCTTTTATAAGACATGAGATAAACAGGGCAACTGTGACCGTTTGCTTGCCAAATAGTGAGCCCACACGTATCTGTACTCCTAAGCCTTATTAGAAATGGTAGTACCATTAAAAAATGGGAATGTGTTTTACACTTTACAATAAGGCTCCCTTTTGGCAACTATAAATGTTAGTAACTCGTAAATAAATGGTCATAAAGAGATGCCAAGAAACATCAAGATGGAAGGGGGGGAATCAACTCAGTGAACAACAGATACCAAGGATGCTGGCTGATGAAGAAGACGGAGTAAGCTAGTGCCAATATAAGGCTTAGGCATCTTGCCAAATAGTGGGCCTGTGTTGATGTATGAAAACTATGTTAGAACTGGTTTATAAATGGTTCTTAATGATTAATAAAGTGTTTACAACCTAATTAATAACCTAATTATAAACCCTTTATGAATCCTTTATAAGGGTAGTCTTATTGTAAAGTGGTACCCATATTTGTAATGTATAGTGTTGAAGATGTGCTCATTTTGAGTTCAGTAAGAGATGGAGACTTTGCAATTTAGTACACACATTTTACAGCTAAAATAAATACAAATTAACACTTGCTGCTACCCACATTCACTGCATGGTAGAGATGTGGGATGCAAAACAATTAACTCCACACTGAGTGGGAGAGATGAGGTCAGCAGGCACATGAGATGAAATTACTGTGTGAGCACATACACAGTTTCCAGACTCCAATCTTTACAAGAAGATTGGGAAGGTACAGGGAGGACAGATATAACGATAACATCTCAAAGGAAAATGCACACTGACAACATGCGTTTATTAATATGTATACTTTTGATTATATTTCTACGTTCCTGAATTGCAACATTGCCGCAATGGCTGATAGTAGGTTATTTTGACAATCCGAAACTTCGCATTTAAACTGGAATTTTCAAAAAAACGGACAAAAGTCTTGATTCATTTATGTAAATTCAGCTGTTTCTTTTTTGAAAGTGAAATATATTTTCAATAGATTCCTTGTCATGTGACCCAATGAGTCTAAATCAATGGAGCATTGTATTCATTCACTGGATGAGACACACCTCTTTTCAAAAACACTTTAAATCACAAATGAATACAAATAAGTGTTTGCTACTTGTCCAGTGTAATACAGTAATACAATTCTACATTGATTTGGAGTAACTGAGTAACAATGTATTGCATTTTTTGAAAAAGAACATCCAACTTTAACAAATAATTGTCCTCTATGATAAACTACATTTGAGATGAAACAAGGAAATGGATAAATGTCACAGGAACAATAAATAGGTGTTGTGGCCAAGCTGGCTAACATCTGTCATCAAATCCCTTTCATTTTGTACAGAGACAGCTTTGTCTTTCAGTACAGAATGTAACTTAACATTGAGTCCATAAGTACATTTAAAATCTTCAGAAATTGCGATCGTTGCTGTGTTTGCAGGACAGCACTTACCTGGGGGGCATTTCTGGCAGCACAGGTCAGTTCCTTCTAACATATACTCTGTTTCTGAGTTGAGACAGTTTCCATCTGTGTCTGCGTGATAGGGCTGAGAGCAGACCTATGGGAAATAGAGACGATAATTGAATGCAATCATCTTGTGCATTTGAGACAAAGAGTGTATATTGTTTAAATGCTCTGTTTAAAAGGAGCTGCATTAAGGCTGCTGGGGGGCTTTTAAGTTAACTAGTCATTTAGAAATTATGAGAAGCCACTTTTGTTCCAGACAGACATATTTCCTGGAAAGTAGCATAGTCATTAGGTGAAAGAGAAAATAAACACATTGGCCCATGACTGGTTATATTTTAATATAAATAAAAGCTTAAATTAGTGCCAAACTACCCACACCAGCGCCCACATCTTCCTTTCTAGTAATGCTGCTGGCCTGAGCTGCAGACTTCAAACAGGCAGTCATTGTTCTGAATTTGAAAGAGGTGCATTTCACCGCTATGGTCTTCCTCTGTAAAGAGCCTTCTAAAAATGTTCAGGCTCCGGACACTGCACACATGCACCCTTGCAGTAAAGCAGGAACAACCTCCCCCTACCACACATACTAAATATCATGAACACATGCTGCTGAAACCGCAGTAATGATGTGCATGTGATGTGTATTGATATGCATGACACAGAGCAAAGTTGCTGATACACCTGTCCTGTGCACGAGAGTAGAAAGGCTTTCACCACAGTACCCTTCACTGATAAGCAGAAGAGAGAATATGCTGACAGAAGCAGTGTGTTTCTCGGATTACAGGAAACAGGAGGTGGGTTACAGTAGAAACCCTTGTTTCTGAAGCACATTCTTCTGTCGTGTGACCGCAGGTAGCAACGGATGTGATGATAAACACATGGAGCTCTGCGCTATTAATTACCTCGGCTTATCACAAAATTGTTTTTTTCCTTTTTCCCGTGGCTGCATGCCCACACTTACTTATCCTCATCAACAGAGACCGAAATGATACTGTAAACTAGTAGAATGGATGTTGCTTAATGTCATAACGTGATAATGAAAAGGCATCATCATCATGACCATGCACTCTAAACCAAATATTCAGACAGGTTCAACACATCAAAGTCAGATTACAGACTGCTGTAATACAACATTGCGTCATACAGTGCAAAGCTGACATTGATACAGCAAAAAAACGTTTCAAAGAAATAATAAATTCCACTTAATTGGCTCCCGGACAGGTGACACAGTTAGCTGAACTAAAAACATATTTAAGACGTAAAATGTATAAATTAACATTTCAGAGTAATATAAGAGAACATATTACACCTTATTTAAATGCTGATTTTCCCTGTTAAGTTTCTCACTACTTTGAGCTAATTAAGGAAGTTCAACTATATTCAACAATTCACATTATGTTTGAAGTTAGTCGGACATCAGAAAAATCCGAATGTCCAGAGTCCTTGTTATACACAGCAAACATGCATGACAGATTCACACACAGACACAAAGCCTACCTTGGTAGTGAAGCCACTCAGGAGAACCAGCAGTACAAGTATTTCCTTCATTGCCTCTCTAAAGCAGGTTGTAAACTGTAGAGGACAAAGTCACCAGCGTGTACTTATCATTTTATAAAGGCGGGCTAGCAGTGCTATGAGGAGCCATTTCCTTGAACTGACTCGAGTGTTTGGAGGAAGGAAACAAGCAGGCAGGCTCTGAAATGCACTGAGATTAAGTTGAGATGGGGTTAAACACTCATGCTGTGCTCCCAGCTGATATTAAGTGTCTATATACAGGATAAAAACACAATTCATAATTAATTATTTCATCTGCAGCTGATTAGGGGAGCAATGCAATGGCTGTACACTCTTTGAAATGTACATAACATAGCATTTTAAAACACTGCATGAAATAACTTTGTTTCTTTTTTTAAACCAAATCTGTTTGCATTAGAGTTAACATGATATAGTGGTCACATCATTAATTAATTAATAAGTTAAATGGAGATCAGCTCTGTATAGGGTCCTATCTTTAGAGATCCAACTGTTGGTGAATTGTTTGCAATACCAGAAATCCTTTCAATCCAAGAACAATATTAAGGTCTCACTGCTGGAATTATAAATACTGACCCCCCCTATATGCCAAGTTATTATCTAATTTCACCATTCATTAATGAAATTGAATAGCATAAAGGTTGCAAAACAATTCAAACATGAAAACTAGGAAACTTTCTATGCTGCTCCCTCAGTGATTAATCTGCTTCTATCAGTGGCAAATTAGCAGAACTCACTGTCAACTACCCAAACAGGAAGTGGACCCACTTGGATTTTCATTGTTATTTATACACATAGTTGTGTGTGCTGGTGTGCTGCATCAACTGTAAAAGCAAAGGTTTTAGGCAGAATACGAATCAGGATATTAATCATTTCCAAGTATGGTTAAGAACCCGCGCTGCTGTTTCAATGCTGTGGCAGAATATTGTGGTTAAAAATAACACAATACATGTATTTGTGTTCCACATAAGTGATTTCAGAAATCACTTTAACCAGAGGCTCTAAAGCAAACAATACATCACCAACTTTACACATTGAGCTCCCTGTGCACATGTGGGAATAAAGGTTTCTTTCATTGCACTCCAGGCACTACTGAGTAATGTAGTCAAAACATGTCTTCTTATAACCCAGCCACAGAACTGCATGTCTGCCAGATTCACGCCCCTATGCCCTGATCCTGTGTGAGATGTTGACATTCCACAAACCACATTTCTCTGGTACTCATATACACCAAGAGCATGTTCTAATGTAATTCTGATGTGTGTTTTTTTAAATAATCATAAATACACAGTTCACTCACAACAGCAGAAGTGAAATCTTTTGGTTTTAGGTTTGCCAAATTAAATCATAGTATTAACATATTAGATGGCAGACATGCTACCTCTTAAAATAAGGTATGAAAATACTGCCTGGCTTTATTCTCTCTTGCTGAAGTCACATTCTTAAATCAATATTCAGGGTTTTTTGGTCTGATGATATGTTTACTGAACTGAGAATATAGAGCAGGCATGATGTCATTTGGTCTCAAGTGAGCAAGTTTCATATCCTGTTAACTTATGTGTCAAAAGGGAACATACGGCTGTCTGAGGGTTAAAGAAAGGTATTGAATTACAAAGAGAGCTAAACAATTCACGTTATTAGCTGCACTCAAGTTTTTTAAATGATGATAATCCCCTGGTTAACTCCCTTTGATTAAAACCAATCAGCTGGTACCTTTCAAATATCACTGAGGTTCTGAACACTTCTAAGTCTCTAGTGTTTGATGAAAGTTTATTGATCTTACATCTAAGATCTTTTATTAAGATCTTTCAGTCCAATAAAAATGGGCAAAGCATAAAAAATGCATATAAGGATTTGAAGATATGATACAAGAACAATGATACAAACTTCAGAAGCAGCATTTCCTTTCACCACTGCTTGTGGTATAAAAAAAAATCAATCACTAAGTCTCATTTCACACAAAGCTTCCCAGATGTGAGATAATGACGAGATGACGAGCACACGGCAGACACTTTGCTTTGAACAAGCTGTTTGTGCTATAACTTCAAAGAGAAGCAGGTTCCTCGCTCAACAGGAACTAAAAGAAATGCATAGATATGTTCCTGTTGAAGTGACTCACACCAAGAATAACAACACATTGATGTTTCCTTTACTTGGACGTTTATTTTGTTGATTTAATCGAACGTGTCCAAACACATGTTGATATACTTAATTCTTCAAATATGTAAGACTGCAAGACACACATTGGAAAATCTGACGTGTCGTAAGTGAGATTGCTACAGACTTTAGGTATAGGTTGGTGGAGTTTCCTGTAAATCATGCTTCTGTCCGACAGTCAGGAAGTGTCAAAGGAAGTTAGAAACAGAAGTATGTGTGAACCTGGGAGCCAAAGCAAACAGCTGGAAAGGGCAACAGAGAGGAATCACAATGACTTGTTCTGAAATGTACCATGTGCAATTCTAAACAGTCTGCACTGTGGGGTAACATTATGAGCTGTTGCTTCACCTTCACAAAACTGCTGACACTCACATGTAGAGTCCAAATCTGTCCCAACTTGGAAGATCAGCGGTTTGATCACCGACTCAGCCAGTCAGCATGTTAAAGTGTCTCTGGGAACTACACTAAACCCCAGATGGCTTTTAAAGACATAGCCATTGGTGTGAGTGTGTGTGAATGTTGGCCTATTATTGTAAAAGTAGAGCTATATAAACGCATTTCCATTTACTGGTAAACTGGCTTGTAATTAGTCACATGACATGGAATTTCCATCTCTAACTCATTACATTACATTTCAGCACCTGACATATTTGAAAAACATGTTTTAAATGAATCTATTTAAAAGAGAAAGCACTTACTACTGTTGTTTCATTCCCTTTTAAATCACTGTTTGTTTGTTTCATATTGAATGATAATACATGAGCATCAAAAAGGAAATAGTTTTGGGTGGGGACAAATGGCTAACAGGAACTTTTATAATCACTTCAAAATAGCCTTTGATTGTCTGTCAGTGCAAAGGGTAAAATGTGCTTCCTAGTTTTCTTTTGGAGGAGAAGTGTTGGAAGTTGTGACGAGCCAAGCGAGACACATCGGAGGCCTGGTTTTCGGACACTTTGTGTGAAGAGAGATCCTGAAAAGTATGAAAAGCACCATATGAGAATATTAATATGTCTGATTTAAAAAAGGTCCGGATTATTTTAGGTCGAAACACAAAGCCTGTGGCGTCTCACCTCGAGTTCCTTGTTCTCTGACGTAACGAGACTGCTCCGCAGATCGAGGCTGCTGGGGGGGGGGCAGCGTGCTCTGAGCTCTGTTGGACCAGCCTGAGAGACAGTGCTGGACAGGACCAGGGTAATACATGAAGATAAAAATACTTTAGTGCACTGATAAAACTTAAGTTTAATTTATGTCAAACTAAACAGAATAATAATATAGATTGGCATGTAAAGATCTCAGAGGGGGAATGGCACGTATTAAAAGTCATCAATTATCCTACAATGGGGTCTCTTACTCACCGAAGGTAACCCAACACTATCAGAGGGGTCAAAACTGCACCGGCGATAAGCGTTGTATTTGTAAGGAGGCAAGAGGGTGGAGCGAGGGATGCTGACCCTTAAAAATAAAACAAAAGATAAAACACATGAGGCAATAGAACCGCTGCAACATTCATAAAACATGGTGCAAGTTGAATTTAAACTTCACAAAATGGTATTGTTGATTATAAGCATTATCTATTTAAAATACAACAAACAATACAGTTTTTGGATTATTTCTCGGGGCAACCAGTGCCTTTATTACAGTGATAGATATGAAATGGTGAGACACAGGGGGTGACATGTCTGCTCACCACCTCAAGCTCAACCTTGACAAGACTGAACTGCTTTTCCTTTCGGGAAAAGATTGTCCCACTCTTGACCTGACTATCAACATCGGCCCCTCTGTTGTTTCCCCCGACTCAGACTGCAAGGAATCTGGGTGTGACCCTAGATAACAAACTGTCCTTCACTGCAAACATCGCTGCTACAACCCGTTGCTGCAGATACACGCTTTACAACATCAGGAAGATACGTCCCCAGCTGACCCAGAAAGCGACGCAGGTTCTGGTCCAGACTCTTGTCATCTCACGCCTAGACTACTGCAACTCCCTCCTGGCTGGTCTACCTGCATGTGCCATCCGACCTCTGCAGCTCATCCAGAATGCAGCGGCTCGTTTGGTCTTCAACATTCCTAAATTATCCCACACCACACCGCTCCTTCGCTCCCTTCACTGGCTTCCGGTAACTGCTAGAATCCACTTCAAGACACTGGTACTTGCGTACCATGCTGTGAATGGATCTGGCCCTTCCTACATCCAGGACATGGTTAAACCGTACACCCCAGCATGTGCACTCTGCTCTGCATCAGCCAAACAGCTCGCTGCGCCCGCACTGCGAGGGGGACCCAAGTTCCCATCAGCAAAAACACGTGGGTTTGCTATCCTGGCTCCAAAATGGTAGAATGAGCTCCCCATTGACATCAGGACAGCAGATAGCTTACACACCTTCCGGCGCAGACTGAAAACTCATCTCTTTCGACTCCACTTCGAGCGATAGAACTATTAACAAAGCACTTATATACTAATAAAGGACTGGCTTATCTAAAGCCAGTTGAGTAGCACTTGAAATGTTTTAGCTCTATGAAACCTGATGTACTTATATGATTCTGTTTTCTTCAAGTCTGTATCTTGTTGGTCGAACGTACTTATTGTAAGTCGCTTTGGATAAAAGCGTCAGCTAAATGCAATGTAATGTAATGTGACATGTGGCAAATGGTCCAGGTAATGCTTTTATGTGTGGGCATTGCATGGATTTGAAAGTCCTAGTCAACCTGTTCCTGCAGGAGTTTTCAACATTCTCAAATGATGGACCCTCAAAAAGACAGACTAGCAATTATTATTATTACATTTATTTTCACTTTTTAATAGTTAAACAATGGTTGATAATACTAAGGGAACGGGTGACTCCTGGGATACCTGAGGATGCCTGACCATACACCTTGCCTTTTATTCTGCTTTTAAGTGTTTAAAAGAACACACTTTAACACACTTCCACTCCAGGTACCATTATCCTGTCGTCTTGTGCAAAGTGCTTTGTTGTTTCTAAGTTGTCATAGCTGGCAGTAAAGGTGAACATGATCATTACCTGATGAGAGCTGGATCAGCAGTAGTGTGAGGATTTGAGGATTTGAGCTCTTTGCACACAGGGCAGCTCTCCTTAGAGTGAAGTGGGACGGGGAACAGTCTGCTGTTAATTCTGTAAGAGAACGTACCTGAAAAAAGGAAAGCAGGCGTACATGAGAATTGCTTCTGCCATCATGAAAATAAAAATGGGACTAGGCTACTCAAATAAATAACCCTCTTACATTGATGAGTGTCAGTGCTGGCCTCTGGACCGTGTTTGTTGGTTAGCGGTGGCAAGACCGATTGGTACTCCTCAGGAAATCTATGAGAAGATCAAATTAATAGTAACTTAATGATGGCATCATCAATCACAGGCAGACCTAACAACAACAACATCACCAGTAAGTGCAATCAAGGGTGAAGCACTCACTCTGCTTGTGGGCTGTGGACACAGTCGTCTTTATTTAGTGATCGAAATGTGCGTAGGTCATTGAAGAACTCGTCAGAACGCTCTATCAAGGAGTCCTCAGCATCCAGGACTCCTTGGAGGGAACAAACATCACCTGTTAGGGCTCTTTTTAATGACTGTGTGTATCAGAAATGAACAGGAGGATCAATAAGGCATACCTGCTATCCAGTCATATCCCAGCAAAGGCTGCAAATGATGCCTGTCTGAGGCAGATATCTGTTCATATTCATCAGACTGAAATGTGACACGACTCTGAATATCCCCCTTTTTAAAAAACAAACATGTGATGCAAAGTATTGGTGACAAGCATGTTTCACTATCAGCAAATCTGCTATTTGAATGCATAGTTTCAAACAAAGCCAACACATAGCATAACATGCACAGTGTTAGGCTTGTCATTGTGTTTTTGTACTGAGCAAAATATAGGAAAATCAAGAAGGACTTTTGGAAACAGAGCAATTGTTTGACTCCAAATTAACATTTTATTCTATGATCAAGGTGCTACACATGGTTCTTTTTTCTGACCTGTTCTTTGCTGTGATTTACGAGACAGGACTTGGTGATGGCTGGCCTCATATCCTGCAGCCTGCTGTGGACCAGAGGATGAACGTT